AATAATAATAATAATAATAAAAATTACAGTCTCAGAAACTGGATGGAATGAACCCAATAGCAATGGGTGTAATCTTTATAGGAAGCAGACTGCCACCTCTTTCTTCCTCAGAGCAGCTGGCGGGTTGGCCGCCCAGAGCTTAACCATCGTGGCCCCTTTCAAGCTTCATTGTAGTTATAGGGCTCTGGTGGCCTCATGGATAAAGAGTTACCCTACTACCTAAAAGGCAAGTAGTTTGAATCCACCAGCTGCTCTGGGGAGGAGGAGGGGGGAAAGATCGAAATCTCCTTGGCTCACCTCTGAAAACTCACCTGAGAGTCAGCTATGAATCAGTTCCAATTTGTTGTTGTTGTTAAGTGCCATCGAGTCGTAAGCGACTCATAGTGACCGTATGAATGAAAGTCCTCCACACTTGCATGACTTTCATCCTTTCTCCAGGTTCATAGGGTTTCTGGAGGCAAGCTATTATGGAAGTGGATGCCACTCCTGCTTACAAGCTTGTTTCAACATGGGAGCGCCACCAAACATTATCCACCATAGGTAAATGTTATTGCATTTGACACATCAGTGTCACAGTGTTCAGCTTCACAGCGACCACAAGTTACCTCTGTACGGCAAGTGGACACACCAGGGCTACACGACCTAGAAGATTGAACAAAAACAATGAAAAATAGGCTTTAGGGCCGGTAGCATCGCTTTCGGTCCACTAGGCAAACTGGTCTCTCTCTGGTCTTCCAACTTGAAGTCAATGAATAATTGTCGTTGTTGTTATTTGGTGACCATAGAATCAGCTGTGATTCATTGTTCACATTGAAGCGAGCTCTGGGTGAACAACTGAATCAAAAGAGTCAAGAACTGAATAAACCTATGCTCAGTCCTGTACCATTCTCACAACCTCTGATGGGTTTAAGTTTTTCTTGTTCATGTTGTGCCATCAAGTCAGAACCAACTCCTAGCTGACCCTCCAGCAGGTTTTCAGCTGCAGTTAATCACGTGGGAGAAGCTTGTCCACCCTTCTCCAGGGGAGCAGCTGGTGGATTTGAAACACGTGCCTTTGGGATGGCAGGGAAGCTTCTTAGCACCAGGCTACCAGAGCTCCTGTGAATTCTTAGCGAAGTCCAAATCAGGACAGACTTCTGTTTTCCACGGCTTCCTTGGAAGGGTACTGGCTGAGGAGTGTGCAGACCCACCCGGTAGGCGCCTCCTTTATAGCCCAAAAATCCTAAGAGACTTGAACAGCCACTTCATTCAAACAGCTACCATCATTCTCCCTCAAAATGCTAACGGGTTCCAACTGCAGATCTCTAAGTGAACACTCTAATGCTTTCACTCCTAGCGCCACTAGGGCACCTTTGCATTTTGTAAAATACTTCTTAATGTGGGTTTGAAATTTTTCTTCATGATTGGCCGAGGATTTGGAATTCAGTGGAAGAAAAGTAGGTAGCTGCTGTCCTCATACAATGTCATGTGATATCCACGTGACCAATCCCTGGTAATGTTGACCTTCATTGTTTAAGATGACGTCTGCCAGGTATCTTTAGTTACAGTTGATGTGTTGCTTTTTTGCCTTTTCAATGGTTCCCCCCACAAGGCGCTCTGGTGGCTTCACTGGTTACGTTTGAGCTGCTAACAGAAAAGTCAGCAGTTCAAATCCACCAGTGGCTTCTCAGGAGACAGATGGGCGATCTCCTCTTAAGATTTACAGCCAGAAACCGATGGAGGAGGGTGTCATGAGTGGGAATCGACCCGACTGAAGCGGCTTGGTTTATTGTGCCCACAATCAAAGGCCACAAAGTGGGCGTGGCTATTTAAACTCTGTTGGGATTTTGACCTTTCTGTCCTCACACTCATTTTTTTTTCCTCACACTCATTTTAAACACCAGGAAACAGAAGCCTAAACAGGCACATTTCCTTACTGGAAGGTGACCTAGGCGCCAGCCCATCCCTCGCTGCCAGTGCTGGGACCAGGGGCTGTGGCGCCCCAAGGGTCAGAGGAAGGTAAGAGTCAGAGGAAGGTAAGAGGCGACTCCGGGACGGCGTGGGAAGGGCGTCGGAACCGGCTCTCAAGCCGCCGTCCCGGGCCCAGGCCGTCCGTCTGGACCTCCCTCTCGGGCGCCTTCGGCCCATTTCACAGATAAGCTCGCTGCGCCCGGGCGCAAGGAGGCGCTCGGTGGCAGCGCAGGGTTGGGGCCCCGCCTCGCCGGGCAGGTAGGAAGTGCTGGGGCCGGGCCAGGCCGGGCTGCTGGCGGCGGGGGACGCAGAGCACCCAGTGACCCCGGCCCGCGCGCAGCCAGACCGGCCGCCCCCTCTTAAAGCCCGCCAGCCCCGACGCGAGCGTCCCACGCCGGTCTCCGGCTTTGGCAGCTCGGGATCCGGCGACAGCAGCGGCCACTTGCAGGTGAGGCCCGCGGGGTGGCGGGGTGACAGGGGTGGGGGAGACCGTGACGGGGCCTCTGCAGCTTTGAGCGCTGCGTCCCCGGGAGGGGGTCTCCGCTTGCCCTTGTGACCCACTTCCTGTGGGGCCACCCTGGCCAATCACCGAGCCCCTCCCTGGGCTTAGAATGAGGGTGTCCCCTCTGCGACCTGACTGGGACTGGACGGACTCGTTGTGAGCTGCAAGTGGCATTCCTGGGCTTGGAGTGAGCATTCACCTATGTCCTCCGGAAGAGAGAGAGGCAGGAAGGTGACAAGCAGGTCCCACAGGCCGCAGGTGCAGGGCCCCAGTGCGGTCCTGGCCTCCAGCACCCCCCGGAGGTCACATGGGGAGCGCAGAGAAGCAGAGGCTGTGGTCACATGGCTTGGTCACCAGTTGCTTCCCGCCTCAGGGTTGCCTCTTCAGGAATGTGGGGGAGAGGAGGGTGGACACTTCCCGGAAAAGGCAGGGGGTGGGATGGTTTGTATGTGTCGTGTGGGGGGCACATCAGGACACACACGGAGCCCCACATTCAAATGTTGTCCAGCACACACCACACGCCAGACACACATCTCATGGGCAGGGCACACACAGCGTGACTCAGGCAGTGTGGACACACGTCGCCATCTGCACAGACACCCATGCCCACGGCCCCTGATGAACACTGGGGCACACAGCACACCCCAGTACAGGCCTCTAGGACCCACTCAGCCACACACCCACCCAGGCAGAGACACACTTGGCAGATGGCACAAACACACCAGCCATGTCTTGAGCGCCCACAGCAGCAGACACAGCCACCCACGCAACATAGGTGCCCACAACACAGACAGGCTCATGGGGACAGACATGTGGCTATCCCCTGAGGAGATGACACGGGCAGCCAGGCACAAGTGTACATATGAACCCAGAACACACCCCCCCCATTCCAAGTGCTGCATGTTTGGCTGGGGAAGTCCACGGCGCACGTGACCCGAGGGGAGGGTTGCTGGAACACTCCGTGGAGAAACTGCATCATCTTCATTAATCATCCATTTCCACCCCTCCTGGAATAAAGGCTCCGTCCTGCCTCTCTGTCCTGGAGCCCACTGCCTCTCAGAGCTCGCTGGCTGCCTTGCGGCTCCCTCCCCGAGGGTGAGCTCCTAGATTGGGTGGACTGGGATAAGGTAGGGCGGGTGGGCCTGCACAGCCTCCCTTCTCTTGCCTCTCACTGGACCATGCCTGCCCCTCTCTGCCAGCTCTTGTCCTGCTATGCTAGGGCACAAGGTACCCCCAGTGGGCCAGCTTTGCAGGAAGCCATCTCCTCTCTCTCAGAGCAGGGTCTCAAGGGCTAGCTGCCAACCCCAACAGACGTCCATCTCTCCCCTCCTAGATGGATGCATGGACAGCGCTGCTGACCCTCGTCCTGCAAACCTGCTTGGCACTTCCCCTAGCTGACAGTGCCACCCCTGCCCTGCGCTTTGTGGCCGTGGGTGACTGGGGTGGGGTCCCCAATGCCCCCTTCCACACGGCCCGGGAAGTGGCCAGTGCCAAGGAGATCGCAAGGACCGTCCAGACCCTGGGCGCAGACTTCATCCTGTCCCTGGGGGACAACTTCTACTTCACTGGCGTGCGAGATGCCAATGACAAGAGGTTCCAGGTGTGTGCCCGCTGGGTTCCCAGGGTGGAGGGCAGCTGATAGGGCACCTGGTGGCCCTCCTTGGGAGAGGTCAGAGGGTTGATGGCAGAGCACCTGGAGCACTCCCTCAGTGACTTGAGGTGCTTCACCTGGGTGTGGGGGATGCCCTGGCTGTCACCGGCAGGAAACCTTTGAGGACGTCTTCTCTGCCCGCCCCCTTCGCAATGTGCCCTGGTACGTGCTGGCCGGAAACCATGACCACCTAGGCAATGTCTCAGCACAGATTGCCTACTCCAAGATCTCCAAGCGCTGGTGAGCTTGCCCACCTCCTGGCCCCAGAGAGCTCAGGTAGACAGAGTGGCCTGAGCCAGAGCCAGAGCCACCCAGGGAGCTGCTGAATGCCCGAGCCGTCCAGCCACCTCCTCCCTTCCCTCCCCAGGAACTTCCCCAGCCCTTTCTACCGCCTGCGATTCAAGATCCCCAAAACGAACGTGTCCGTGGCCATCTTCATGCTTGACACAGTGACCCTGTGTGGCAACTCAGATGATTTCCTCAGCCAGCAGCCCGAGAGGCCCCGGGACCTGGGGCTGGCCCGCACTCAGCTAGCTTGGCTCAAAAAGCAACTGGCAGCAGCCAAGGAGGACTATGTGCTGGTAGCTGGCCACTACCCAGTGTGGTCCATCGCCGAGCACGGGCCCACCCACTGTCTCGTCAAGAAGCTGCAGCCGCTGCTGGCCACATACGGGGTCATCGCCTACCTCTGTGGTCATGACCACAACCTGCAGGTGAGGGGACGAGGGAGTGAGGTAAGGGATACCCACCCAGCCAATGTCCCATATGCTGTTTGCGGGCCTCCCATGACCTTCCAATACCAACACCCTCCCTAATTCTTCATATCCTAAACAGGAACATGGGAGTAAGATGGGCAGTCTCCTCCCTTGAAATTTATTGCCTCTGAAGACCCACTGGTGGGTCAGCTATGGGTCAGTTCCCACTCGATGGTCCATAACATAACTAACTAGGAAAGTACCCCAAAACTCCCTAAAAAAATTCATTGTCGATCCTGAGTCACAGAGCAAAACTGCTCTACCGGGTTTCCAAGGCTGTAAATTTTGGGGAGTAAGTTGCCACATCCCTCTCCTTAGTCACAACTAGTAGATGCAAACCTCTGACCTTTTGGGTCAGTAGCCAGGCACCTAACTACTGCGCCCCCAGGGCTCCATGTCAAAGCTCCATGAAAGATAGAATGCGGCTGCTACCTTTCCCCCAAGTGCTTCCTTGGCGCTTCACCTCGGAAGCAGAAACATCTTCAGCTGGGGAAACTGAGGCACCATTGCCCAAGGTGTCTCTATGGGACGCAGCTGACTCTGGACTTGAAGCAGGTGGTCATGGGAGTGGGGAACTAGGACCTCCACTGAGCCCTGTTTTCTCCCCATCTGCAGTACCTTCAGGATGACAATGGGGTGGGCTACGTGCTGAGTGGAGCTGGGAACTTCATGGACCCCTCGACCCGGCACAAGCGCCAAGTCCCTGATGGCTACCTGCGCTTCCACTACGGAGCGGAGGACTCACTGGGCGGCTTTGCCTACGTGGAGATCAGCGCCAAGGAGATGAGCATCACTTACATCGAGGCCTCGGGCAAGTCTCTCTTCAAGACCAGCCTGCCCAGGCGGGCCAGGCCCTGAGCCCCAGGAGAGCCCTCTGAGATCTGGGGCAGAGTGGTCTCCACCAGTGGCTAGGGGGGTCGCATAGGGACTTTTCACCTATGGGCAAGCTTTTCCTTAAGTCTGTAATGCTGGACTTGAGCAAAAGAGAAAGCAGCAGCTGAAGACTGCGGTGCCACGTTGGACTGTGTCACGGATGCCCACGGATGTGAAAGAGACATGGACACGTGGTGTGGGCCAGAAAGGTCTGGTGGCCCAGCTTGAGGTGGTGGGACAGAGAGGGGAAGCTTTCTCCTGAACACGTCTCTTTCTGTCATTGCTGTTCATTAAAAGAATAGTTGCCAAGACTTAGTGTGTGTCCAGAGCATCCCTGGCCTCTCCTTTCAGGCAGGTTGTTGGACCTCCCTGGAACCACTGCTCTTTGCCACCATCTCTTAGCCCCACCCCTAACCCACTGTCCATGCTTATGGATGTGACTTGAAGTAAAAACTAACCAGAAAGGAGGGCCCAGCCCAAAGCAAGTCGGGACCACCTTTCCAAGAATAACCACCAGTTTCATCTTGTTCCTTCCACACTCAATGCCTCAGTCCTAAAAACACTTCCCTCTTTTACACCCAAATAAGACAACAGATTCCATACTTGTTCTTCCTTCTTAACAGCAAATCTTAGATCGTTCATATCAGACATTCATCTTTGTGCATTTATGTTTGGTGCAAGTGTATACAGTTCAGTCTCACGCTGAGAGAAAGCTGGACCATCTCACTGCCACTCAGTTCCCTCCCAATACTCCAAAAAGGAAATCACTTTATTCATGCTTTGGGGTTCCTTCCAGTATTCCTTCACGTAAACAAAAACAAATGTGGAATGTTTCTCCTCCTCTTTCTCCCAGTCTATGTCATGAGCTTCTTTTCTTTTTAAATTGTGATTTGAGTGAAAGTTTACAATGCAAAATGGTTTTCCATTCAACCATCCATCCACATTTTGCTTTATAACTTTAATGACAATACTCTCAATGTAACTGCAGTCTTCCCGCTCCCTCCCTGTTGTTATCATTTCCATTAATCCTGCTTCCCTACACCTTCCTGCTTTCTGGGCTTCATCCTTGGGCAAATGCTGCCCCTTTGACCACAGAGGCTGGGGTATTCTGAAGAGCAAATGTCTCCCTGGTGTTTATTGTTCACCTGTTCACATGTTCATCTGTTGTCTGGCTGAAGGCTGGGCCACAAAGGTGAGTTTTGTTTCAGGCTCAAGGGTAACTTAGGGCTACATTCTCAAGAGAGCGGTCTCTATTACAACAACATGCCTGGCTAAGCACCTTGCTTTTTGAAAAACCAACTTAAAAAAAACCCAAAACCCACAAAAGACATTACTACTGAATCTGTCCCAACTCATAGAACCACTGCATGAGGTTTCTGAACTGTCCTTTTTATTATTATTATTAGTAATGAAAGTTTACAGAGACTTAGAAGCCAACTGCTGAACTTTCTCCACGAGGCAACTGGTGGGTTCAAACCAGCAACCTTTAAGTTGACAGCTGAGTGCTTCACCAACTGATGCATCCATGATGCCAGGTGTTTGATGTCTTTTTTTCATGGTCACATCAGTTGGAACCCATTAACTAGGACAAAACACCCTCATTCATCACAGATTAGGCATGTCTTTTTCCTGCCCTGACCTGCATGTATCCTTGTAGCTGTCAATGTGCAAACCTGTACCCCGCCCACGCCCCCCTCGGCCACACACAGACTTCAACCTAGTGATACTTTGTGCTCGGCTGCCCATGGTGAAAATCTCAGCATCGGCCTCGCTGTGTAAAAGATCCCTAATATAAGTTTGTCCGCCCAAGCTGACTCTGTTCAGATTCCAACCTCTGTCCTTCAGAGCCCCTCCTGCCATGGCTCGGTGAGGTGTGCCACGTCTGCTTTTGAACATCTGTGCAAGGGCGTGAGCAGGAAACTTCTAGAGGCAGATTGACTTCCCGCCTGGTTTCTTTCTGCTGCGTCCTGAAAGCAGTGTACTCATGTGTGGGCTGAACGCTGCCTAGGAGGTCAGTTCCCCTTTCAGGAGAGTTGGGTAACACCCCCAACAAACAGGCTGAGCACATGATAACTCAGAAACGTTCATTAGCCTAGCTCTTAACTGCCACATCAGCAGTTATGGGGCAGGGACCTGACTCTTTAGCTCCAGCTGAGTGAAATGAACCGATAACCTGAGTCAAATGTAATTGAGGTTCCTTCATGGGAGAGAGGCTTGGTAGAAATGTTAACTCCTAGAAGAGATTGAGAATATTAGCAGCTTTAGCTTGCTTGGCTTCACTATCAACACTCTTGGCACCAGCAGTCAGGAAATCAAAAGAATTGCACTGAGAAAAATCTGCAGTCAGGGAGGGACCTCTCCAGAGTACTGAGAAGCAACGATGTCAGCCTAGAGACTAAGGTGCACCTGATCCAGGCCATGGTCTTCACAATGACTTGTCCATCAGAGAGTTGGACGATGACTAAGGATGACAGAAAAAGAGTTGATGCCTTTGAGTTGTTGTGCTAGAGAGTTGTACTGAACATACCATGGACTGCCAAGAAAACAAACAGATCTGTCTTAGAAAGGGTGTAACCAAGTTTCTCCTCGGAAGCTAGGATTTTGAAGCTCTGTCTCACATACTTTGGGCACGTTGTTGTTATGTGCCCTCAAGTCGCTTGTGACTCATAGCGACCCTATGTACAACAGCCCTAAACTCTACTCTGTCCTCAGTGCCAATCTCACTGCCTCTGACACTCCCATCCCAATTACCCCAGTCACTGAATCAGTCCACCTCATAGAGGGCCTTCCCCTCCTGCGCTGTCCCTCCATCCTCCCAAGCATGATGTCCTTCTCCAAGGACCGGTCTCTCCTCACAACATGTCCAACGTATGTTAGATGGAGCCTCAGAATCCTTGCCTCCAAGCAGCCACCCGGTTTAACCCTTTCCAGGATGAATCTGTTTGTTTTCCTAGCAGTCCATGGTACTCTCAATACTCTTCTCCAGCACCACAGCTCAAAGGTATCAATTCTCCTTCTATCCTCCTTGGTCATTGTCCAACTCTCTGATGCATAACAAGCGATTGCAAAGACCATGGCCTGTATCAGACGCACCTTAGTCTCCAGAGAGACACCATTGCTCTTCAGTACTTTGGAGAGGTCCCTAACAGCAGACGTTCCCATCGCAATGCACCTTTTAATTGCCTGGCTACTGGTGCCAAGAGTGTTGACTGTGGAGCCAAGCAAACTAAAGCTGTGAACAATCTCAATCTTTTCACCATCCATCCTGATGCTGCCAATTGGTCCAGTGGTGGGAATCTTTGTCTTTTTTACATTGAGCCTCAATCCATATTCGAGGCTGCAGTCCTTGACCCTCTGCAGCAGGTGCTTCAGGTCCTCCTCAGTTTCAGCAAATGTGTCATCTGCATAATGGAGATTGTTGATAGATCTTCCACCAATCTTGACCCCACATTTCTCCTCATAGAGCCCAGCCTCCCGGATAATCTGTTCTGCATACAAGTTGAAAAGGTATGGAGACAGAACACATCCCCGGCGCACACCCTTCCCAATTTTGAGCCCAGCCTCCCAGATAATCTGTTCTGCATACAAGTTGAAAAGGTATGGAGACAGAACACATCCCCGGCGCACACCCTTCCCAATTTTGAGCCCAGCCTCCCGGATAATCTGTTCTGCATACAAGTTGAAAAGGTATGGAGACAGGACACATCCCCGGCGCACACCCTTCCCAATTTTGAACCATGCAGTGTTTCCTTGCTCTGTTCTGACGACTGCCTTCTGGTCCAAGTATAGGTTTCGCATTAGAGCAATCAAGTGTTCTGGAATTCCCATTCTTCTCAGAGTCAGCCACAGTTTGTTATGATCCACACAGTCAAACGCCAGGAGAAACCAGTCCTTGGAGAAGGATCTTATGCTTGGAAGGGTGGAAGGCCGAAGACCGACAAGTGTGTCGGCATCAGTGAAACTAGCTCAGGACAGGGCAGGCTTCAGAGCTGTTGTACATGGGGCTGCTATGAGTCACAGGTAGCTCGATGGCACTAACAACAGCAACTTATTGTTAGGTCATTGCACTGGTCGTAAGGCCAAGGACTCAAGGAAGGGACCAGAGAAAGAAAGGGAGCTAAAGAAGCTTAATTAGGGGGTCTCCTGGGTGTGATTCCTCTGTCTGCAGAGAGAGAAACAGGCAGAGACACAGACCAGGGAATACTGCACCCTAAAGTGGATTAGGGCAGGTTTTATAGTGAGGGTCTTTAGGAAGGGAAAGGAGGGACTGTTGATTGTGGTTTAGACAGGTGGGTGGTCTTCTAGGAAGGGAAGTGAGGGGGACTCCATGGCAGCTGAAGCTGTTTACTCCCTTTGGTGACATGTCGATATTCCTTGAATCCTTTGACCTTGAAAGGCTTTGACCTTGGTTCTGGCCTGACACTTATTACTTTATAAAAACAAAACAAACAGAAAACTCACAGCATGGTGTCAGTTCTTACTCATAATGACCCTATAGAACAGAGTAGAACATGCGAGAATCCCCAGGCTGTCTCAAGGCTCCCTTAATGTTGATTTAATTACAAAGTGTCTATGTCACTGTTGTAAATGGTAAAAGAATTGTGCTGCAATCCTGAAGGCACATGATTTGAACCTTCCAGCTGCTCCCTAGGAGAAGGAAAGGCAATTTCCTCTTGTTCAATTAACTGTGTCTGAAAAGCCATGGGAGGGTCAGCTATGGGTCGGTTCCAACTCGATGGTTGTTGTTGTTGTTGCTGTTGTTGTTAAGTGCTGTTGAATCGCAGGCCATGTTCATTGCTGTGTTA